TTGGGGGTTTGTGACATAAGGTGGATTCAGTCAAATGGCTTCATGACTGGAATATTTTTAGGGGGGCCAGGCTCAGCTCAGAACTCCTGCCTGGATCTTGTGCTGTAACTCTGGTAGACTGATATTAGGCCCCATCTGTGATCTCTGGCCCCTTCAGGTTAGGAACCCTATTGTACTGGAGGGGCTGAGGTGCTACAAGACCACTAATCTCAACACTCTAGTGGATGGTGCCAGCCAAAGCACTTCACAGGGTAGTGACAGTGAGATCTGTCCTTGTTCCCACGAACCAGCAGTAACTGCTGGAGTAGCATTGCAGGGTGTACACTTGTCCATTTGCTGCAGCATGGTTCTCATGGGTGCTGGGATGCTAGCCTTGTTGTGGGTATTCACAGCAGCAGTGGGGGCAATATGGTTTGGTGGGGGCGAGGACCCCCCATGGGGACTGTGTGCCTATCCCTACAGATGGTGGTTTTAGCATAGAGATGGAGTATTGGTGGGTTCAGGACTACGTACGTTCTCTGTGTATGTTCAAGCTGACAGCAGTCTGCTCAAGGCTGGGGGCTAGTCTACTGTTTTCCTTGCCTAGTTTTGCTCTGGTGGCTGAGGCTCAGGGGCAGGGTACTGGTAAGGGTGGGGCTGGGGTGGTTCTGTCCCTGCTGATGTTTTGAAGCAGTGCGGTGTCAGGGTCTGACAGGCAGACTCTGACCCAAATACGGATGAATAAATTCACTCAGACACTGATTTTCAGTGAAAGAGTGGGCTGGGGTGTCCAGGCCATTCACCCAAAGGAGTTAACAGACTCCAGTCCCCACTCCCCGACTCGCGGGCCCTGTAGGCTTTTATTTAGTATAGATTAAAGGACAAGGGTCTTTGGATAAACACCATTAGAGGATCATTAACTTCTGCCCACCCCCTGCTTAGGAGGCAGTCAAGTGCAGAGGGGCAAAGGTTGGTTTTAGGACAACAAGCCATTTAGATAAACTCCTTGTTAACTGCCCTATGCTTCAAGCCTCAAGATAAAAGAACTAGCAGCCTTGGGCCAATTCTTTCCTGAAGCTTTTACAAACCTGCCTTCCAAGAAGGTTTGCAATTATTCTACAATGTTTGTAATTTGCCAACCACCCTGATCATTTCCTTACAGTGTAGCATGGTGGGGTTGGTGAGGAGGTGCATTCACACCAGCAACAGTGGCAAGGCAGGGTACAGGTTACCAGTACCAGTATGCTGATGGAGACGGGCTAGGTCTGCCTGGGCATACACACACTAGCATAGTGATGTGGGGGGTGACCATGGGTGTGAACAACCTGCTATGTGTCTGCAAAGGCCACTCTGCTGGAACACTGCCAATCAAATATGGTCCACTAGGTATGGTGTGGGCCCTGGGGGCACCTGGCAGCTGTACTGCAGGCAGCTGTGGCCAAGCTGGAGCCCCACAAGAGGCTGACAGACTAAGAGGTGCTCAGATTGGACTGGTCTTGTCTCATGGGTAAGACTGCCCTGCAAATTTCAGGTCTGAAAGTTCCCCTAGGGCTAAATTCTCCTATGCAAGTCTAGGAGACTCCTATGCAGTCTCCTATACAATACTAGCCTAGGGGGGTGCACATCTCTGACAGTGCTTCACTCCAGTTGCTCCCTTGGGACACTCTCTTTGCTCGGCCCCTGGCTGGAATTCTGCCCCCACCACTTCTTTAAGTAGCTTTCCCTGCCAACTTAAGTGTCCATGGTGGTTGAGGGGGTCTCCTGCTGAGACTCCAAAGGCCCACAGTGAGAGTGGGTTGCTCCTTGCCTGTTAAACTCACCCTCTCTGTAGGAGTCACTGGGAACCAGGAACACATTCCAGTGTACAGTAGCCCCGGGAAAATTTCCTAGCTTCTTCCTTCTTCAGCAGAGCCTCTGTTTTCCCTCTGTCTGCTCTGTCTGTAGTTACAGCATAAGACCATGGTAGTGCTGGGATATAAACTCATTTTTACCTAGCTCCAAAGGCTTGCTAATTTATGCAGACTCTAGAAATGAAAAATAATTGGCATCATTTTTGTTAAATCACATGTTACTTCAGTCCAATTCTCCAAAGCTTTTATGAAACCTATGTGATGTAATACAATTGATTATTACAGCATTTATGGAATATACCATTCATAGCTTTAGGCTACACAGTGACAGTTCTATATCATGGTCTCTTGAATTCCCTCTTTTTCTAAAATCTATGGATTTGAAGTCAGGATGTTTTCAGAAGACCAACTGGTGTTAAAAATCCAAATAGATCAAATATTGTTTCTGTTTATATCTGTGTGACAAATAATACCAATGTGTGTAATTATGGTGTGGAGAAACACGCATAATTTCTCTGAGGAAAGTTTACTTCACTGAAAGTAGTCGTTGCCAATAAGCAATAGAAGCCCTAACCAGTGGCTCTTATTTTGTAATTAGAATTTTCATCTTAATTTTAGTGTATGTGCAGCCAAAGCAAGTACCACATTTTCATCTTAAGCAACGACTAAGATTGTGTGTGATATAGGTGAAGGCTGTCACCAGATAAACATCAAAAAGTTATTTTTTAATAGTATCTTTCCGTTGTGATATTCTTAATACCTTTCTTCCTATCCTACTCCCTCCTCTTCCACAAATATATGTTGACTATCAATTCTGTGATGCTTGAGACGTTAGGCACTTTAATAGGTAATCCTTTAGGTCTCTCTCAGATTCAAGTTGATTACATGGTGTCCATTGTGTGGATGAGGATACATCCTCTGTGAAGTGAAAGGTCACATAACCAAATGTGGAAAAGTAGATGTGTTTCTTGCTGAAAGAAAGTGAATATTGAATGCTGCTGCATGAAGCCCAAAGCTTCAGTGGAGAACCTCAGAAACCAGATAACTCTGAGCCATAAGGCATGATATTGGCCTCTCAGAAGTCTGAATAAATAAGTATGGGGGTTTCCCTTATTTTGAAGGCATTCATGACTCATTTCTCTAGGACATTAAAGTGAATTTTTCAGTGGAAGACAACTGGAAAATGAGTGTCCTTGTATACAGACATAGGATTTTAATATAAGTAATCATGAAATTGACCTTGGTGGGGAGAGCTCTGAAACAAGATTACATGGTCTGAGTGAAGTTCTAACAAAAGAGAAGTTTATGTATGAAGACACAAGAAAGACACAGAGGTAAGAAAAGGAATATTGCCTGGAGTCTGGAATGCAGGAGCATGTGCATATATGTATGTGCACATGTGTGTGAGTGCTTATGTACCGAGGTAAGTTTAGATGAGCCTGGATAATTAATAAGCCGTGCTTGTATTTTGCAAAGATACACTAAAGAAGAGACACAGGTTGGAAACCATTGCAGAATACAGTAAGATATAGTGGTGACATGAAGCTAAGTTTATGATGATGAATTTGAAGAGAAATTCTAGGCCTTGGCTTAGAAAACAACATTAAAAAAAAAAGACTTCATTCTTCAGGAACATAATGCCCACAGACAAACTTCACTACAAACAGAATTTTTTCATAGACAGATGTATATATCACTGCTTACTTGGATGAAATATATGCATATACTTCCATATACAGATGGATTCTTTCATCACTGAAAGCAAAAGTGCTAATAAGCAGTAGAAACCCTAATCAGTGGTTAGTACACTACAAATATATTTACCTACAAATTTACCTCTACCAGACAGTTTTGCCTGCTATTTTTGAAAGGTAAAGCAGTTGTTTATTATTTTAAACTTACAAGTGTTTCAAATTGCTATTAGTGAAATGAAAATTATTTGAACTTGAACAGATATGTAAGTTCATTTGATGTTCCTTGGTAGCTTTTCTCATGCAGATCTATTTTGCACATGAGATTTGCCAGGGAGTTGAAGCTGCCTCCTATTCTGCACCTGTTTATATGATTTGCTAATAATCTTTTGTAGTGAAGGTTTATGAACATGGTGAAAATTTACATACATTCAATGAGAGATATGATAAAATGGCATTACTCAAGTTTTACCTATGATTTTGGGGTTTGATGTAATCCCAAAGGGGTAGACAACAATTTTACTACTAAAAAGTGTTAATATTATTTTGGCTGTAGACTCCAATTTTCTATTAACAAAATAATTGTCATAATTATTTCATTACAATTTCAATATAAGTAGAGTTATACAATTCTCAGCACATTTTGGTTTTTTGTTTGTTTTGAGACAGGGTCTTGCTCTATCACCCATACTCTAGTGCAGTGGTATCGTCATGGCTCACTGCAGTCTTAACCTCCTGTGCAGAAGCAATCCTCCCCCCTCAGCCCCCTGGGTAGATGGGACTACAGGTGTGCACCACTATGCCTGGCTAATTTTTGTATTTTTTTTTGTAGAGACCGGGTTGCACCTTGTTGCCCAGACTGTCTTGAACCTCTGGGCTCAAGCAATCCACCTACCTGGGCTTCCCAAAAAGTGGGAGGGATTACAAGCATGAGCCAATGTCCCCAACCCCATTTGTCTTTTTAAAAATAATTCTTGGCCAGGTGTGGTGGCTCACACCTGTAATCCCACCACTTTAGGAGTGCCGAGGCGGGTGGATCACCTGAGGTAAGGAGTTTGAGACCAGCCTGACCAACATGGAGAAACCCTGTCTCTTCTAAAAATACAAAACTAGCCAGGTGTGGTGGCACATGCCTGTAATCCCAGCTACTTGGGAGGCTGAAGCAGGGGAATCTCTTGAATCTGAGAGGCGGAGGTTAGAGTGAGCAGCCTGAGCAACAAGAGCAAAACTCTATTTCCAGAAAAAAAGAATAATTCTTTTATATCTGGTTGTATGTATTTTGACAAATAATTGACATGTTGTAATATTTACAATGCTTCAAAAATGTGAGAAAAGTATATGTGCATATTAATCACATAATTGATAAAATATATAAAATAATGAAATCAAAGCAGATCATTAAGAAATATTTATAAACATTAGGTATTGAATGTACAGATGTTGCCAAAGTTGTACATCCATGGGGTCAGTCATCATAACTTCTGATTGATGTTTAAAATGAGAGCAGGAAATACCCAATTAAGTAGTCAATTGAAAACCATCAAATCTTCTTCCAATGTATCTGCTCCGCGTTGTCTTCTATGCATTTATAAACTTGAATTGTGCCTTGAAGAGGAGTCTAATAGAGATATAAGTCCATCCCTTCCTGGTAAACAGCCTTTCATGACGCCAGGCATTTTGTAGCCCTTGCTTAGAATGAAATCTTTAAAGGCAATTGGTCCATAAAGATCGTCAAAAATATTGGGTTCCTCAGCATTTTCAAGTAAGAGATTGGGGTCAATCAAAGGTTCATCACTTCTTAGCTCTTTCCACAATGTAGGCTTGAGGTATCATGCTCCTCCATGCCTCATCTTCACAGGCTGTGCAGTTTAAGAATTCGGTGGCGTCCGGAGCGGTAAAGAGAACTCCACCTCATCCATTTCATCTAGCTCCATGCTGTACTGCAGCTCTGAGGACCACTCTTACATCTTCTTAGTCTGTTGGCCTTGATAGGTTGCTTCGCACTCAGAGGTAAAGTCATACAGACTTCTGATGCATTCTTCATCAACTCCCATGTCTCAAACCCACTTGAAGAACTCACTGAATTTTCTCAATGTATATCTATGTTGAAGAGAGTCAGAAACACGTTCTGTTGTGCTTGGTGTATCTTCCTGAAGCAGTTCTTCTAGATGGGATGCTTAAATCTTGGGAGGCTCCGAGAGCTGATGGAACTCTGGAGCTCTGGGAGGCTGTGGGTGGAGACGAGACACTTCAGTCTTAGGAGGCTCCGAGAGCTGATGGAACTCTGGAGCTCTGGGAGGCTGTGGGTGGAGACGAGACACTTCAGTCTTAGGAGGCTCCGGGCGGTGACTGGACACCTGATGAGTTTTTGGGAGGCTCCGGGTGGAGACTGGACTCCTGATGAGACTTGGGATGCTCTGGGTGGAGACTGGAGCCCTGAGTCTTGGGAGGCTCCAGGGGGAGACTGGACACCCGACAAGTCTCGGGAGGCTCCGGGCAGAGATGAAACACTCCAGTCTCAGGAGGCTGCAGGTGGACTTCCTCATAATGGTATTCATCGGTCTCGGTGGGTTCCTTGGTTGCCTTCTCCCAGGCTTCACCACAAGCCCATATGTCCTCCAGCTTCTTCTCAGCATCCAGCAGTTTCAGCACCTGTAGTAGGAGATAGGATACCCGACAAGTGATGGGAAGTTCAGGGCAGAGATAGGACACTCCAGTCTCAGGAGGCTCCGGGCAGAGACTGGACACTCGACAAGTCTTAGCAGGCTCCGAGCAGAGACTGGACACCTGTGTCTTGGGAGACTCCAGGTGGAGACTGGACACCTGACGCCTGTTGGGAGGATCCGGGAGGACATGAGACACTCCAGTCTCGGGAGGCTCCGGGCAGACACTGGACACTTGACAACTCTCTGGAGGCTCCGGGCACAGACTGAACACCCGATGAGTCTCAGGAGGCTCTGGGTGGAGACTGGACAACCTACTAGTGTTGGGAGGCTCCAGGCTGAGATCGGATACTTGAGTCTTGGCAGGCTGCGGGCAGAGTTCTCCACAAGGGTATTTACCAGGCTCGGTGGTTTTCTCGGTTGCCTTCCCCCAGGCCTCAAAACAAGCCCATGCGTCCTCCAGCTTCCTCTCAATATGCAGCAGTTTCAGCACCTGTAGTAGGAGACGGGACACGCGACGAGTGTTGGGAGGTTCTGGGCAAAGAAGGGACACTCCAGTCTCAGGAGGCTCTGGGCAGAGACGAGATACGCAAGTTTCAGGAGGCTCCGAGTAGAGACTGGACATCCGACGAGTCTTGGGAGGCTCCAGGAGGAAACTGGACCCTCGAGTCTCGGGCGGCTCTGGACGGAGATGGAACACTCCTGTCTCAGGAGGCTCCAGGTGGAAATGGGACACTCGAGTCTCAGGAGGCTCCGGGCGGAGATGAGACACTCCAATCTCGGGAGGCTCTGGACGGAGATGGGACACTCCAGTCTCAGGTGGCTCCGGGCAGAGATGGGACACTCCAGTCTCGGGCGGCTCTGGACGGAGATGGGACACTCCTGTCTCAGGAGGCTCCAGGTGGAGATGGGACACTTGAGTCTCAGGAGGCTCTGGGCGGAGATGAGACACTCCAATCTCGGGAGGCTCTGGACGGAGATGGGACACTCCAGTCTCAGGTGGCTCCGGGCAGAGATGGGACACTCCAGTCTCGGGCGGCTCTGGACGGAGATGGAACACTCCTGTCTCAGGAGGCTCCAGGTGGAGATGGGACACTCGAGTCTCAGGAGACTCCGGGAGGAGAGGAGACACTCCAATCTCGGGAGGCTCTGGACGGAGATGGGACACTCCAGTCTCAGGTGGCTCCGGGCAGAGATGGGACACTCCAGTCTCGGGCGGCTCTGGACGGAAATGGGACACTCCTGTCTCAGGAGGCTCCAGGTGGAGATGGGACACTCGAGTCTCAGGAGGCTCCGGGAGGAGAGGAGACACTCCAATCTCGGGAGGCTCTGGACGGAGATGGGACACTCCAGTCTCAGGTGGCTCCGGGCAGAGATGGGACACTCCGGTCTCGGGCGGCTCTGGACGGAGATGGGACACTCCTGTCTCAGGAGGCTCCAGGTGGAGATGGGACACTCGAGTCTCAGGAGGCTCCGGGAGGAGAGGAGACACTCCAATCTCGGGAGGCTCTGGACGGAGATGGGACACTCCAGTCTCAGGTGGCTCCGGGCAGAGATGGGACACTCCAGTCTCGGGAGGCTCTGAATGGAGATGGGACACTTCAGTCTCAGGAGACTCTGGGCGGAGATATGATACCAGAGTCTTGGGAGGCTGCGGGCCGAATTCCCCACAAGGGTATTTACCAGGCTCCGTGGGTTCCTCAGTTACCTTCTCCCAGTCCTCACAACAAGCCCATGCGCCCTCCAGGTTCCTCTCAGGATCCAGCAGTGTCAGCACCTGTCGTAGGAGATCTGGAGGCATATCTTCTCCCAGATTGGGGTCCATGGCCAAGGAATGCTCAGCCATAAGCTGGCCTTCCACTTCCTCTACGAATGCCTTACGTGTTAGCTGGGCTGGCGAGAGTCTGCAAAATAGGGCCGCTTTCTTGAGCAGCTTTTTCTGCTTGCTTTTGGGGTCAGCCTGGGGACCTCTGAGAGAGATTTTGGGGAGTAAGAACTCCTCACGACAACAAAGGAGCGTATCTTCGGAGACGTACAGCCGTAGCGGAAGTTGTGCCGTAGCGGAAGTCGTGCCGTAGTGGATGTTGTGCCGTAGCAGATGTCGTGCCATAGCGGAAGTCGTCCTCGCCCTCCTTAATAAATATCCAGTTAACGGGTGTCCACGGGCGGGAACTTCAGGCGCCTGCGCTTGTCGTCTATGAAGCACTTGGAAAGCGGTATGTCACAGTACCAAGGGCTTGGAGTCCATGCCCAGGTACCTTATCAGTCCTGCGGCCTCTGGTCCCCTTTGGTGGCCCTCGCTTGGGTGTCACCTCTCCAGCTTCCACAGTTCCTGATCCCTGCGGCTCTAGTCACTAGGAGACCGCGAAGAGCCATTCATAACCCAGGTTCTTCCTGGAGGCGGGACAGTGCTGACATCACCTGCGCAGCCTGGATTCTGACAGGTGTGTAGTGGAATCTTATTCTGGGTTTATTTCGTATTTCCTAATAACTGCTGGTATTGAACATCTCTGTATTTGCTTATTTGCCATCCTCATCTTTCCTTGGTTGGGGTTTCTGTTAATTTTTTTCCCCATTTTTAGATTGTGTTGCTGGACATCATAATTAGTTTTACAAATCCTTTTGTGTTCTGGATGTAAATAGGTTAGCACATACATGTTTTGCAAATTTTTCACTTCATCCTTGGCTTTTCCCTTTTGTCTTAACAGTGTCAGAAGTTTTTAATTTGATGAAGCCCAATTTATCAATTTGTTCTTTTACGAATTGCGCTTCTTTTGATGTATGTGAAAACTTTGCCTATCCAAAGGTCACAACGATTTTTTTCATTTAAATCTGTTTTAATTTTTGTAAATAGCAGCAAAATATAGATCGAAGTTTTTATTTTAACAATGTATTTAAATGAAAATAAAGTATGCCGAGAAACCCCTAGTTTGCTTGGTTTTGAGACTACTTTGCAGGCAACAAGTGGGGCAGATAGTTGGTCAACTTTTAGTAAGTGGTTTGAAAGTATTAGGAGTAAACCACCTGTTAACGGGTATATGGTAAACAATTTATTAGCTCTTCTTAAGGCAAGCTTTGTTGGATGTAATACTAAAATTTTCTGCATTACTCCAATACCAAGTCTTCCATGATGATGATTATTTGAAACCAACAGACATATGGGGCGGGGGGAGAAGGAGATAGGGTAGGAAAGTGGTAACTGCTTAATGGAGATCTTCTGTAAACATCATTACTGTTTTAAGGATTCTATTGACAAAATTGCTCTGCCTGGCTGCTGTACTCGAAAAATAAGTATAAATCTCTCAGAAAAATTGTGAAAGACTTTGGAATGGTCAAAAGATTGCTGAATATCCTTTCAATGAAAAGATAGGCCTTGTCTAGAAGACCATTGGGGCTTTTCTGATTTTATAGGGGCCTGTGCCTTTCTTTCACTGCCTTCTAAGCTACTTTACAACTCTGTAAGTTGTAGAAAACGGATAGTGATACAAATGATCCTTATCCATAGAGATACAAATGAATTTTGTCCAATAGAGATACGTTTGATTTTCCTTTGTAGAAAAGATGATTCCAACCATTACATTTTATGGGCCTATTGACAAGTTTTGCAACTATTAGCAATTTTATTTCATCCTTTGTGATTGTCTACATATATGTGTCCTTCAGATTTTTCCTTTAAACTTGTGACATCTTACTGGTTTTCTCACTAATAAAAGAGTTATATATAAAACAAATCTATTGCTTACGTATATCTGATAATTTCAGAACTATTTTTGTAAAGACATTCTTTTCTCCACTGAACTATATTTGGAAATTGGTAGAATATCAGTTGTCTATATTTTTTGAGGGTCAATTTCTGGGCACTCTTTTCTCTTCCATGGATTTTCTCTCACACAAATTTCACACTCTGTTGATTACTTTAGCTTTATAATAAATTTAGTAATTAGGCTATACTAGTTCTTTAACAATTTTCTTTTACAAAGTTGTTTTTTTGGGTCCTTTGAATTTCTATAGAAATTTTAAAGTCAGTTTGTTTATATCTTAAAAAAAAAAAGTCCTGTTTGGATTTTGATTAAGATTCTGTTGAAGCTATAGATCAATTTGAAGATAATTGGCATATTAACAATAGGAAATCTTCTGACCACTGAGGAAGGTTTATCTTTCCATTTGTTTATGTGATTTTTCATTTACTCAGGAATATTTTTTATTTTTTAGTCGATGTGTCTTTCCCATCTTTTTCTCTCCAGATTTTTTCTAAATGTTTTTTTGATACTATTATATATAGTACTTTTTAATTGCAATTTCCAATTTTTTGTTGTTAGCATATTAAATACTGATTTTTGTATATCCATCTTGTATCATACAACCTTGGTAAACTTGCTCATTATGTTCAGGAGCATTTTTGTGCATTTCATTGAATTTTCTGTATATATGATAATTACATCTGTGAATAGAGAGTTTTCTGTCTTCCTTTCCAATCTGAGTGTCTTTATACCGCCCCCATCCTGACCCTATCCAGTGGCCATCCTTGATTTTCCTTTGAATAATATCATTTAAATTTTTATCTCTCTTATAGTGCTTAAAAGCTTAAAACAATACCTATGAAAAAGCATTTCTGTAAAAAAAGTTTAATTATAGGCAGATTCAGCTTGCATTATTCCTTAAGCATATCATTTTTTCCTCATATAGTAATTTTTTCTGTACATTCTTACTTGTTTTTGAAAAGAAGGTTTCTTATTTCCCTTGTTAGGTGCAACTGAACAATGTTTTCTACCATTACTAGCAGGTATACCTTTGCTCCTCCTTGTAAATGAGGCATGATAAATCCCTCTCTTCCTTTTGGCTCCTCCTTTGCAAAATAGACACAATATACATTTCTCTCAGGTTTCTCATTAAATCAATAAATAATTTATGTGTAAATCAAGTTAGTCTATATAATATGATTTTGTATAGTGTCTGGAACAAAATAAGCATCCAATAAAATGTTGTTTTTTTATATAGTATTACACAATTTGAAAATAAAAATATTCTACATTCCATGTCTAAAGGAGAAGCAAACATCATATATTTACATATCACAAATATTTTCATTTATCAATTATGAGAATCTATGTTAAGGTCTCAAGACATTTAGTAGATTTCATAATGTGAAGTTGATAAGACCAAATTTTTTAACTTTATTACTTAAAAAAATTCCATGGAATGTATATTAAATTCAAGAGCCAATGCTTCAACAATTCTCTTTAACAGTACTCTAACAAGCAAGCTCATGTGAGAACTCACTTATCTAAAATGGGTGAGGGTTTGAATAAAACTTCTATATTCTAAATAATGCCACAGAAAAACACACATTGAAGTTTCTAAAGTTTAGCTGGACATCTTCAAAAATTTTCATGTGACTGTTCCTTAAAACAGTTTTTGTACTTACAGCCACTTTATTTTTTTCACTTTTCAAAGTAGATTATTATGTAAAAGACACATATCCAGAATACATAAATAACTCTTAAAACTTAATAAGAAAATAAAGAACATAAAACAAAAAATGTGTAATATATAGTAGTTTAACATGTACAGAGATTAATAGCTAAAGAAATAACTATAGATGTGTGTACATATTGGTTACTATACATGCATAGATTTTATAGCTTTGTCTGCTGAGAAATTAGAAAAAAAATGACACCTAAGTAGCAACAAGTACATCCAGTGCCCAGGTCTTGGTTTCTAAATACCATTCTCCAAAATAACAAAGCAAAACACAAAACAGACATCCTTGGAGAAATGAGTAATTCTAGGCCTGGGGCATTGAAAACAAAAGATGGGCCTGGAGTATTATGTTATGCCAGAAAATACAGAAGTTCTCAGAAAACAAAATAATAAAAACAGATCAGGAGCCAAATTGAAGTGCAGCTCAGTCCACGGCATGGTGAGCTTTGTGTGCTGCTGGGGTCAGCTTTCACTATCCCCCATGTTTGTCAGGACCCAGAGCCCAGAGGAGTACAAGCAGGTCCTCCACAAACTTGGAGTGCCTCTTGGTGGCGCTGTTGGAGGCAGCACCACCATGATTGGCGTGGCAGGGGAGTTGTTTGAAACACCTTCCTGAGTAGTCCCGCCTGGTCAGTGAGTGCTTGTTTTCCTTTAAACAGTCTGACATATTTACTAATCGCTTTCAAACCGGAAGCATGAGAGTAAGGAGCTGTTGTGAGGTCTGTTTAACTCGATAGAAAGTACAGTGGAATGACTCACGGCCCAGGTTCTTGACTCGCTCAGCCACTGACCCCACCACCCTGGCCTTGCTGAGCTGGACTTCCTCCTCTTCCTCATGACCAGGGTGAATTAGGAAGTTTTTAAAGACACCCCCTTCCAAATTCTATAATGCATTGTCATTGGAGAAGGTAACTCTTTGCAGGACTAAACTATCATCATTTACAACTTTTCTATACATAGACTGTAGTCATTTTTGTCTCCAGAACATTAGGCTTTTGTATTTTTTAATTTTAATTTCACTGTTAATCTTTATTGTCTTTTTTATTAAGATGTTGGAAAAGCAGGAGGTAGTTGTACCTCGTCAATTATTGCAAAAATGTAACAATAAACTTCCTCAAAGTAAAAAAAAAAAAAAAAAAGACAATTTAAGCAACAAAATGAATTAAAATTATAACACAGAATAAAATAAAATATCCATGAGTCCATACTGATATAAATAATTGTACAAATAGATAAATGAGAAGAAAGGTAAAAATCTTTCTTAAAAGAATTTCAAAAGTATACATAGATACTCCTCCCTCCAGGAGGTGAAATTTAAATGACCTCCCCAGAGTATGGCTGGATTCTAAAACACAGATATGGAAAGGGAAAAATAGTGACCTTTTAGTGGAGAAACCTGGCAGTCCTCTCCTTAACCAAGAGATCAATTTTAATATCAGCAGTAACTAAATCACATTGGTATCATGTATTCCTCTGGTAGGATGAGAAAGACACTTTACCTCTATAGTATTCTTCCCTAAAATCCAGAATCCAAGCCTAATGATGAGAAAACATCTAACAAACCCAAG